CCCCCCCCAAAAAAAAAATAATAAAATAAAAAGCCGCCATCCTTCCCAGCCTTGGAGCAGAGAGGGAGCGGCTCAGGTGAAAGGGGACACGTATTCGGGTGGTCATGTCTGCAAAGCTGTCCTCAGGACCTTGTCAGGGTCATTTGGTTAACCGGTTGGGTCTTCGTGGATTGGGTGTTCCGCAGAGCCCACCATCCCCTGCATTCCATCACCCAACCATCAATCCCCACTCACTACAAACGCGTAGAGAGGTGACTAGTGTCGCAGGTGCCATGCCTCTCGCTTGTGCACCCTACTAGCATGTCAGGCTGAAAGAAAGTACCGGGAGCCGTCTTTCAGCCATATTGCTTAGCCACAGGTTTACGCAAAGCTGATGCGCGGTGGCGAGCAGTGCCTTGGTTCCAACGGCATAGATACAGAGAGAGAGGGTCGCAAGAGGACCACCTGCACTGGACTTCAAGCTGCTGCTACCACCTTCTACCGAGGTTTCCGCCAGTTGGCATTGCTTGGCGTGAAGACTCTATGGACTGGAGATGGCGGGACGGCTGCCATCGGTACCTTGTCCGAGGCTTCATTTCAAGCCTAGCAGGCTTGGCAGCTTCCTGCAAGCGTTGTCAGACATGCCGGTACAATCGAAGAGTGTGATGAGGTACTTTGGAGCATTGGTGAGTGGCAGGTACTTGCCGGCATCCTGGTGGCAAGCATTTTGCAGTATTGCGGCGCAGCTAGCTTGAGGCTTGAACCATCTGCGTGGGAAAATGTTTTACATGGTCTGTCAAGGTGTCTTTCAAAGATCCTACTCAGCGATCGCTCAACAAGTGCAACAAGTGATGCCGCCGCGACCGCGACCCTGTGTACATGTCCCGATTTAGCTCGATGGGAGCTGGGTCGTGCTGTTTGATTGGACTTTTGGCAGTGCCAAACCATACCGGCAGAGCTGACACCGGCGCAGCGCTTTACACTGCACCCAGCATCTACTGCGTTCAAGCTTGGCTGCGTGGCTGAGAGTGAACTGGGCCGGAGCGGCAAGTGCTCTAGACTGAGTTTCTAAGTTCTGCATTGCCTAGCGGCCTAGCGCAGGAGCGCGACCACAAGCGACGACCAGGCCCGATCACGAAGACAACCCCGCGTGTCGCATTGAAAGTGCTACTGAGGGCATGCATAGCTCCCAAACGAATTAGCATCTCGCATCTCTTATATAAGCTGAGCCACGGTAGTGGCATTCTGCAACAGAGTTCTGTCGCTCTGTGAAGCTCGGCCAGATGCGACGCGATCGGCGAACGGTGGAGGCTCAGACCGAGACTACACACACAGTTCCGTGCTTGGTAATCTAGTCCGATACCGGTCAGCCGCATCGTGTCCCAAATGGGCTTTCGAATCTGCCGTGTCTCTAGGACTCTAGGGCGAGCCACTGACATGATCCAAGTTCGTTCACGTGACAGGTGTCGAGGAGCGGCCAGAGAAGCGTGTGGGGCACTTGATGCATTCGGAGAGGGTTTGCAAGGTGCAGTTGGAGGGTAACGATGTTTTCACAGGTGCGGCGCGAGGAGGATGCGGCCCCTGCCGTGACCTCAATCCCGAAAACTTACCGAATTAGCTTCAGAGCAGCCTTGGCTTTTCGTTGCTGCCACCAGCCCACAGTGCGGCAGTACAAAGCGTCTTTGGATAAGAATCCACCCATGACATAGCCCGTGCTCTGACAATCTACTCATGAAAGTGTCGCTTGGCTTGCCAGAAGCGACGGGATGACGAAGTCGTCGCCTTGCCCTTAACAAAGCTGGATGCAACTTAGACGTATGGGGCAGCATATTCTCGGAAGTCAACCGTGAGCCCCTCTGCAGTCTCGAAGCTGCATGAAGCTGCGTGACAAACGTATCACCAGCTACGACAAACCTCGAGTCAAGGTGATCCCATCATCCCCATCTCACCGACCGGCCATCAACCGGAATGCAGGCGGGGCTTCTGAGGGTTCACGGGGAGTGCACAGCAAGAGTCCATTCGAGAATTGGAACGGTGAGAAAGCAGAGATGCAGGAAGTGCGCGGAACTCCCTGTCCGTGCAACCTGGAAGCGATCGCGAAGGCCGAGCTCAGGGTGGCCTTCGTTATTTTTGCATGCGTCCAAGGCCTAACCTTCAAGGCAAGCGATGCGAGAGGTGGTTCGAAGCCGTCGGTCAGCGTGACGTGAAGAGCATCCTAGGTCCCAAAACATTCAAGAGCTCGTGCTTGCACCGCATGGCTTCATGTTAAAGCCCCGTCGTGGCGTGCTTGAGGTTCTGTGTCCCTGGCTGATGTGTGAGTCTTGCGTAGGCCGCAGCAGCAGAAGTGTGATTAGCGGCCAGGCACTAAGAGAATCCAAGAGAGCGAGAGTTGCAAGTGAGAAGCCGGGTTCATACAGCCTTCACTCTCCACATCCATACTGACGCTTGCTCTGCTAAGGAGGATACGATACGTATTCCCGACGTCCTGGGGTCCAGCATGCTGAGGCCTAAGCCAAAAGGTCGAGACCAGCATGTGCCAAAGCTTCATAGATACTGGTAGCATATGGACCACCTGCTACACGCCGCTGCGCATGATGCAGTTAGTTCATCACATGTCGCAGCGAGGTGGAGTGTCAATTTTACACTCTCCCAGCTGCAACAGCCACTGACCGCATGCCAGCAAAAGTCGCAAGGGCATAGTGTGTCCTTCGGAACCCGTTCCCTTCGATGTGATGCGATTTAGAAAACGGAAGAGACGGGGTTTTTACGCCCAGGGAGCGCCGTCCAGACACGAACGGCGCAGGCTTGCCCAGCTGCCTCTGTAGGATCCACGGTAAGTTGCGAAGCGGCTTCTGTTGTGAAGTAGGGACCGGATCTTCTCGTGCGGTTGGCGAGGTGACTGCCCGTGGTCCTGCGTCTGGCAGAATCCCAAGCATTGTCCAGCAACTTCGGAAGTTCCTTAATCGTCTCACTTGGTCCGATTGGCAGCGAGCCGATGATACCGTCCATTGTATCGTTTTTCTCTAGCCTGCAGAGCAGTGGTGGGTTGCTGACACTGTCTGTGGCAAGGTCTGGTATGCCTGCCTGGCTCAGGAAAAAAGCTGGAAATGCGTTGCAACATGACTGGCAGGGAAGCTTGAGATGTTGCATCGAGGGTTCACAAGTCCAAGTGCTGCTTCCGACTTTCGGCCCTCAGAGTGTACAAACGTAGATGGACCGAACAGAGTCGCAGCTTCGTCCGTCCTTCGCATTAGCCTGAACCATGACACCCTAGGCCCTAGCATCTCAAACTGTTGCAATCTCCTTGAAGCGAAGCACACAATGGCTGCCGCCGGCTTCGCTGCTTTGCCCGGCGTCCAACTTCCACCAGGTGCGGCCTTGGCCTCTGCAAGAGGCTTTCACGAGGCTTGAGCTCCGATTCGCAGGTCTTGACCGGCCGATCCGCCCAAGTTCCCATGGAGCAGCAGGAGCGGCCGAGTGAATGTTGGGCGATGTTGGGCGACATGCGGCGAGTTTGGCCAGGCTCTGGTTTCGGTGCTCGTGCGCCGGAGATGGCCCCCGGCCCCAGCCGAGGTAGTTCATGTTGCATCCCGGGGCTTGGCCCGGCCTCTCGGTGAGACGAACACGGCTACCCAAGGCAGCCCTCGGGCTCCTCGCGCTGGCAGCTCCCTGCCGGTGCCGCACGGCACGAAGGGCAGAGGCCGGAGCAGAGCGCATTCCGCAAAGGCCGCAAAGGCCGCTGGGTTCTCGCTGCCCAGGGGCCAGATCGAGGGTTCAGGATCCTGGAGGCAGGGGCCGCCACGGTGTGTGAACGCTGGTTCACAGAGCAAGCGCACCGTGCAAGCGCATTTCGTGGAGTGCTTGCAGCTGCAACTCCATGTGACTTGCCTCTTGCTCATAATCAGTCATAATATGCAGGTAGCATCCTCGTTCCTGGGAGGCCAGAAATCACTTGTCAAGGCGCTCTTGAGATGTGAGCCATGTAGAGAAAAAGCCTCGCAGCAGTGTTGCAGACTTGGCTGGCGAAATTTCGCCTCGAGGTTTCTGCTGTTTTCCAGATTTTCCGTTCTGCTTGGGGGAAAGGAAGTGCCATAATCGGGATGGGTTGATCCTGCTTCCAAGAAGTTCATTCCTCACTGGCTAGGCTGCGCGATGGGGCAGCCGTGAGGCGGCAATTGCTTGCAAGTTGACAGGTCAATGTTCTGCAACGCCCAACACGAGAGTGGATACGAGCTTTCGAATTGAATGTCCGCAAGAGCACAAGTGACGAAGCTGGAGGCATGGAGACTGATGGTGCGAGAGCTCGCTCCACAATCCCCCGAAGGTGCGCAACGAACCTGTGAGCACTTCGCTTTATCCAATTGCCCACAAGCCGTGGAGAGGTCTGTGCTCACTAGCACGTGCTGACAAGCAAGACTAATGTGACGAATGACGCCGTTGAAAGACAAGTGCCAGAGAAGCAGGAGTCCACACCGCACGTTGAAGAGTGTGCACCCCCGCTGCAAGTAGCTTCCCAAACTTCCCATGTCAGCCTCCAGGGGACTACATGCGGCCACGGAGTGAGCTGGTTGCCTCAAAGGACACCAGTGCAGCACCGGAAGAGCCACCCGCAGATCCAAGTGTTACTTCGAACAGAAAACTTGGTGCTTCCTGCAGGATAAGGCACCGCTCCGCTCCGAAGGCACGTTGCAAGATGCCTCGCAGCAAGCCGCAAATGTCTGCTTCCCGGCATGTCTGCAGGCTATGCGCTTTACCTTGGCAATACTTGCCCTTGGTGCCACCGTGCCAAGTCGCTTGGCGACGAGCGGCCGGGAGTGGTGTCCAGTCCTTCCATGCCAAGATGCTCAGTGGTAGTTTGTAAAGCATGTCGAGACCGTTGTAAGCATTTCAGGGTTGCTCTTAAGGTCCTTTTCGAAGAACGGATTATTGAGAAAGACTCCCTTGTAAGGAGGTCCACACGAGGTCCTCACTAAAAAAGGGAGACTCCCTTGTGGATGTTTTGGAGGCAGGTATTTTGAAGAACGTGGTCGTTGAGGTCTTTTATCCAATTAAGGCTGGCTTTAATCCTTCGCCGCCTGCCGCCACGCTGCGTTGCAGATGTGAAGTCTCTTTTCTGCACCTGGCCTGACGTTCTGCATATCTGCAGGCAGCGACCCCAGTTTACCGGTCAGGCTCGTGGACAACGCCGAGCGTGCTTCACGAGGTGGCTGGGCCTTTGATCCTCAGCAAGGCCGGCCAGCTCTGGCGTCTGTTCTGGGTCTCTGAAAGACGGCCAGCGCGAGGAGCTGTGGACCCTGTGTTTGGAGCGGCAGACCTTCGTGAGGTGTATGACCGAGCAGCAGGCAGGGGTGCTTCTTAGGCCCGGAGTGGGTATTAGAAAAGTCAAGCGAGATCGTGATCACTACAGTTCCTAAATCAAGTATTAGTGCTAACCGGGTGAGACCAACTGTTGTCCACCTTCTTGCAGTGCTGACTCTTCTTGCTCAGTAATCCTGCAGGGTGAGCAAGAATCTGGATTGTGGTCACATCGTGATCTGTATTTTTGCCACATGTGGCTGTTGTATTTATGGTGAAGTCCTCTTCCCGCAGGCCGCGACGGTTCTGGCTATGTTGGTCGCTGCACTGCTCCATTGCTGGTCGCCGGGCTGCATCTGTGTGGATGGTCGAATTTTGCATTTCTGGCCTCCCGAGTTTTCTGTCAGCTCAATGTGACGTATCACGACCAGACCCTGGAAAGGTGGACACACGCAGCCGGCGAGCCGTGTCCAACGACAGCGTCCAGCACTCTGCATGAAAAATGTGGGGCCAGTCCATGGGCCGTTTAACAAGAGCAGATTTTTCCTGACCGGTAGCCATGTCATTCTGCTCGCATTTGCTCGCTACCGTAAGGATTGTTCGGCTCATTGGGACCGCCAGTGTCTGTGCCTCAAGCATCTTCAAGCTGGGCAGCAGAACAGAAGCGAGAAACCGGCCACACGTTCTCCACCGAGGAAACAGACGAAGAACGCAGCCAGGGCCGAGCAGTCGACCTGGTGCCGCAGGAGCTGATTGGGCAGATTGAGGCCGCCCAGCCCATGCGATGCGGCACATCTCAAGCACGCAGCAGAGCACGCATGGATCTTGGTGATCTAGTGTTTTGCCTCTCTTCGCTAAGCCAAGCTCATCCCAGCTGAAAGAAAATTACGGCCCCTTGAGGCCACGACTCGCTGGACCTACGAGCTCCTGTCCAACGCAGTTTACCGGGCTGGCTTTGCCACAACCCAGGACCTGACATTGTTCATGTCTGGAGAGGGGTCGGATTTCTACGAACAGCATCAGCTGGAGCGTGGCCTGCTTGACAGTGGCTTTCAGAGGAAGCCTTTGCGCGTGCTGCAAGGGATGTCGCAGAAGGCCGCTCGGCTGTGTTGCGGACAAGGGTAGGCAGAATATGTCCCTTGTGCAGATGCCGTGCAGATATTTGTAGTGCCAGGCATCAATCATTGCACGTTCTCTGGATATGGAGCTGGTGCTTGCAGCCTGACTGCAGGCCTTCAGCGTGTTGAGGAGCAGTTGGCTGGGAGCCGATTTCTGTGCCTTCGGCAGAATGTCGTACTCGGCTGGAAGCCTGCAAAAAGCCACGGGAGAAAGGGGCATAGATGGGCATAGTCGTGGCACAGTGACAGTTTCAAGATGAAGCAAGGCTTAGATGTGCGCTGAACCTAGTGTTTCACAGAGTGTCCGTACAAAGAACCTGGCCCATCCTGGCCGGAGAAGCGTGCAGGTGTGGTGACCGTCTTACAGAGGCAGACGTGACTCGGCTGCGGGCAGCTTGGGTGTGCTCAGCTGCATGCCTGACTCCATAAATGGGCTGGAGTCGAGGGCGTCAGTCGTCTGCTCATTACACTGCGGCTTAAGATTCGTGGTATGTGTACTTTCGGTCTTTGCGTCAGGGCAACAGGACCCCTTGGATGAAGGGAGGGAACGATGATGGTAGGAGTCCCTTATGCTCACCCCCTTTGCCCATATCCAACCTCTGCCTGAAAGGCATTCTGAAGGTGACACCGGCAGGAGGAAAAGAGGCGTTAAACAAGGATATTTTTGTGGTATCAATGCGCTGTGATTCGTAACGCCTCATCATGATTTGTGGCAAAACTTTTTGCGGATTGTGCCAGGCATACAACATGCAGAAAGGAGCCCATCCCCGACAAGAGAGTTTGTGTTCTCATCCGGTTCCCCCCAAAGGGGTCACACTATTTCACACTTCACGTGCTTTGAACCATCGGAAAATCGCATGCTCTTCCCAGGTTATGCTGCTGCCATGCGCCGCACGTTTTGATGCGGTTTACGCCTCTCTTTTCTTGAGGTCCGCCGTTCGCATTTTACGCTGTCATGGAGTACCCTCGTCCTCTGCTTGCAGGGGCTCCTGTGGCCTGTGGCGTGAAGGCGCAGATGGCACCTCGCGGCTCATGCTGAGATTCAGCACATCTGCAGTTTGACATGAGTCTGAGAGGCGAACACCGCCGCCGGTGGCTTCAGCGCTGCTGGTCCTTGCCGGGGGTGCTCGATCTCAGGGGGCTCTGGGTGGTGGACCGATAGCCACCACGCTCTCGTGCAGTAAAGGCATCCGGATGGTTCGGAATACAAACGTGCGTCCTTCGACACCCACCAATAGTACAGTATCATGTGGAGAAAGGAGCATCTGCACTGCACTGTTACGACATGAGTGGGTGCATGGATGCGCGTGGGGCTGCCATGCCTGCAGCAGGTGCCGCACACTGTCGATCTGCGTGCCTGTCAAGAGAGCTGCCTGCATGCAGCTCTAGAGCCCAAGCTTCTGATTCTGGTCGTGTGGCAAGCCTTCGAGTAGTGGCTCTGAGCATGACTGCTGCATGTCGGAACATTGACACGCACCAACCCTACGAAACGAACTTCACGGGCAGACTCTACTCAGGTTACTTCCGCAGCCTCTTCCCCCTGAACCCGTCGCAGCTGCTGCCTAAGTCACATTGTCAGCCCCGGCTTGAATTGGTTGCAATGTGCAGCATGGTTGTCATATGCCATCATCAGGATCGTTCCGGTACCTGCTTCTGACCCCGGTGCACTCGGAACAGAGAGCATCTCCGAGGAGGACAGGCGCCGCTGCGAAACACAGGGCGCAGCCTTGTCGATATGAGTTGACTAGCGGCGACTAGACTTTACGAGACAGTGCACAGTGAATAGCCATCTACATGCATAGCCATCGGCTTCCTCGTCGGTGCCGGCGAAGCTTCCCTCACGGTCAGGAGTTAAAGTGGGTTTGGGAATGCAAACATTCAGAACGCCTGCGCCTGCCAAGCAGGACCTGGATGAATTCTTCCATTGGCGGAAAGTCTGAGGAGACGACCAGCGCTACAGTAGCTCTTTTGCGATATGCAGCTTATTGCAGCTTCATTGCGAAGTGCGGCTGCCGCCTGTTGAGCCGACGAGGGGCTTGGAAAATGCTGCGATCAACAGGCACAGATTGCTGGTCAGCATCGCAGAAGAACACCATGCCCAGTAGCATGCCCTTTGTGCAGGTTGAATGCCAGCGGCGAGCGTAACGTGTCTTTCCTCGCAGGCGTTTTATTTAGATTATGTTGCCGCTGTTTTCTCTCCTCCGACGGGTTCCTGTCGTTCCCCGGCCTCGCCATGTTCGCTCCCAGCCAGCAGTCCATGTCAGCAGCCGAGCAGCAGACGAAGACCTGGTTGACCTCCGTGGCCTTCACCAGCGCCACCATGGAGGCTGTCGAGAAGCACGCCATCGAACTCGGAAGACACGCACTTGAAGCAGATGTAGCATCCGCATCGGCGACCAGCTGCACATCAGGAATGCTGCCCAGGAGCTGAAGAAGGAAGAGGCCATGCCAGAAGGAGAGAGGGTCAATAAGATTGTGGCCACCTTCGCGAACAAGTCGTCTTGATGTGGCTTGCCAGGTGTATATGCCGTTCCAGCACTATCGCACGATGTGGCAGCTGTCCAACGCGGGCGTCGTCGAGCAGAAGGATCTTGGACGGGGCAAAAGCGTCAATCAGAACAACATCGACTTTGCGCAGGTGGCGGACGTGGTTGTCGACGATGTCAGGAAGCACTGGCATCGGACCTTCAGCATCCTTCATCCTTGCAGAAGTCTCTTAAGTTCGTAGAGAGCTCTGCAATGTTTTGGGGGAGGGTCAGGTTACCCTGGCATCGGCTGATTTTTCCCACTTTGTAAGCCTCAGGGCCAAAATAATCTGAATAGAACCCAAAGGCAGCTCCGTCATGCGCAAGCTCCGCCTAAAGGACCTGTTTCGGATGTTAACATTGCACTTGTAGGCTTGCAGCCTGTGTGTTCATCGCGTAGGCTTACCGGCGGTCTGATTCCCCAGCTGCGGGGCGGCGGGGCAGTCTTGAGTCGCAGTGGGTGTGCGTGAGGCGCAGGAGCGCCAATGTTTTCCACCACGAAAAGCCTTGCGAAGCGATGGTCTCCGGCCGGCGGGTTCCTTTCAGCGATCGTCCGCTGAGCCATTTGGGCTTTAGCTCAGTGCCTTGACATCGAGTCTCGCCGGCCTCGCCATGTTCGCTCCCAGCCAGCAGTCCATGTCAGCAGCCGAGCAGCAGACGAAGACCTGGTTGACCTCCGTGGCCTTCACCAGCGCCACCATGGAGGCTGTCGAGAAGCACGCCATCGAACTCGGAAGACACGCACTTGAAGCAGATGTAGCATCCGCATCGGCGACCAGCTGCACATCAGGAATGCTGCCCAGGAGCTGAAGAAGGAAGAGGCCATGCCAGAAGGAGAGAGGGTCAATAAGATTGTGGCCACCTTCGCGAACAAGTCGTCTTGATGTGGCTTGCCAGGTGTATATGCCGTTCCAGCACTATCGCACGACGTGGCAGATGTCCAACGCGGGCGTCGTCGAGCAGATCTTGGACGGGGCAAAAACGTCAATCAGAACAACATCGACTTTGCGCAGGTGGCGGACGTGGTTGTCGACGATGTCAGGAAGCACTGGCACGCGGCAAAGCAGCAGGAACCGCCTGAGGTGGCATGTCAACCGCTGCGTTTTTCAATACTTATCCTATCCCCCCAAGCACATCGGACCTTCAGCATCTCGTAGAGAGCTTTGCAATGTTTTGAGGGAGGGTAAGGTCACCCTGGCATCGGCTGAATTTCCCCACAATGTCAGCCTCAGGGCCAAAATAATCTGAATAGAACCCAAAGGCAGCTCCGTCATGCGCAAGCTCCGCCTTAAAGGACCTGTTTCGGCTGTTAACATTGCACTTGTAGGCTTGCAGCCTGTGTGTTCATCGCGTAGGCTTACCGGCGGTCTGATTCCTCAGTTGTGGGGCGGCGGGGCAGTTTTGAGTCGCAGTGGGTGTGCGTGAGGCGCAGGAGCGCCAATGTTTTCCACCACGAAAAGCCTTGCGAAACGATGGTCTCCGGCGGGTTCCTTTCAAGGACGATCGCTGAGCCATTTGGGCTTTAGCTCAGTGCCTTGACATCGCGTCTCGCCGGCCTCGCCAATGTTCGCTCCCAGGTTTTCGACGATGTCAGGAAGCACTGGCAGGCGGCCGCCTGCGGTGGCATTTCAACCGCTGCTTTTTTCAAAACTTATCCTATCCCCCCAAGCACATCGGACTTTCAGCATCCTGCATCCTTGCAGAAGTCTCTTAAAATCGCAGAATGCATTGCAATGTTTTGGGGGAGGGTTTGGTCACCCTGGCATCGGCTGACTTTTCCCACTTTGTCAGCCCAAGGCCAGAATAATTTCAGAATGGAGCCCAAAGGCCTGTTTCGGCTGCTAGCATTGCACTTGTAGGCTTGCAGCCTGTGCGTTCATCGCGTAGGCTTACCGGCGGTCTGATTCCCCATTTGCGGGGCGGCGGGGCAGTCTTGAGTCGCAGTGGGTGTGCGTGACGTGCAGGAGCACCAGTGTCTTCCACCACGAAAAACTTTGCGAAGCGTGATCGTCCGCTGAGCCATTTGGGCTTTAGCGCGTGCCTTGACATCGAGTCAACCCGGCCTCGCCATGTTCGCACCCAGCCAGCAGCCCATGTCAGCAGCTTATTGGGAACTGAGCAGAGTTTGCAGCGTAGGCTGTGGTTTCGTTTTCACACAGAATTGGGCCCTTCGTTTCCTTGCGCCTCTGTTGCAGACATGTGTTCTCATAATATGTTAAACCGAGGGTACTTCCTTGATTCCAGGCATGTTGTAATGCATCGTGCTATGCCGAACTAGACTCGGCCAAATTGCGACACTTTTACTGCTCTACTCGTACATTGCGCTTCACGCTAGTCCACAGGCCGCCACATGCTCCCAGAAGTTGGCTGTAAGATTTACAGTTGTACTTGTTGGCAGCCCTGGAAGCATTCGGTGCGTGAGAGAAGTTAAAGCAAGAAGGAGCTTGCAGCCTTTGAAATGGAGTCATGGAGCCATCATGAAAATCAGCATCGGCACCGTCGTCTCCTCATCATCTTCATGGCCAGTTTTTTTTGGGCGGGGCCTTTTTCAGCACCGTGTCACGGCCGTCCAGCTGCCGAGGTTCGTGGCATGGAGCCAGCATGGAGGAGGCAACACCAGCAGCTAGGTCTCCAACACAGCCCAATGTTCGTGAGAGCAGTAGAACAGGGTCTGGAGACTGAGATAGCGTCAACTACCGGCAGAAACATCTACCACTTGGCACAACGCAGGCTTGGCCCGAAGCTCGGTGCTGTTTGCGCATTGGGCACTTCGGTAATTATTTTCCTAAGCTTCCTGCCCGAAGGGCGCGGTGGGATACCCCTCGTTTTCACTCCATGTCGTGCTTGCCTTCTTGGGCTCTTCCACCTGGCACGGCACTGTCGCAGCATGTGCAGACTCTTGAGGGGTCATCCTCGTCGGAGGCCGGGGCACATCTTTGAGCCTAAAAGGTAGACACAGCTTGACGCGTAAACCCGGTCCAGATCACCCGTACTCCTCCCGACAGGCCAGCCCAGTGTACTTTCCCATGTACACCATTGACTTGGTGGTGGTCTTGCAGATGGTGAAAATCAAGCCGCACGAAGAGCTGCTGGCAGACGGAGCCCTCACTCTGTTCGACGAGAACACGGGACGCGCAGCTTTTGTTTCCCACCAGTGGGTGGGCAAGCACCATCCAGATCCAGATCACAGGCAATTCCGAGTCTTGCAGGATGCCTTGCGAAATATCTTGTCGGGGGTCACGCAGATTAGTGTGGACGTGGTCACCGAGATCATCTTCGGCAAATCCCCCAAAACGGCAACGCACAATTTGGATCCAGCGGATTTGTACATCTGGTACGATTATTTTTCCTGCCCGCAGAAAGAGAATCGGCGTGATGCCAGCAAAAGCTCTGACAGTGATCTGGCAAAAGCTATCAGCAGCATTCCGGCCTACATTGCCAAGTGTCAGCTGATGTTTGTTCTCTGCCCAGTCATTGAAAGTTGCGAAGGGAAAACGATATTGGGACCATCGAGTTGGGCCAACCGTGCCGTGGCTGCTTGCGGGTTAGGAGCTGGGTACCTTAGGCCATGCGTTGTTGCATCTCAGCAAATTGACGGTAATCGAAGGCATTCTTGGGCTAGGACATGAAGCTGCGAAATTGCGAAACCAAGGTGGGTGGTGCAGACTCGAGAGGCTCGCCAAGGAGTGTTCTGGAGATGGCTCCTTCTTCATGGTGAAGAGTGCCCGGCATGTGGAGCTGGTCGTAACATCCTTTGCATCTTCCTGTGAGAGTTCTCCCGGCGAAGGCTGCTTTACGGTGGAAGAGGATCGCTCAAAAATCGCCCCGGTGGTGAAGCAGGTGCTGAAGCAGAAGGTGACTCAGTGCCTGCAGCATGGAGATTTGCCCAGCTACCGGGTGGTGCTGAATGCGCAAACAATCCTTTGCAGAGGCCTTCCGATGGAGACCATCACAGATGTTGTCCCAGGCTTCGATTCCTCCCAACATGAGTCTGATGATGCTGGGTCGCTCTTGGTTGCGCAGTTCTTATTCCAGAATGGTTTTTCCCAGGTGTGTGAGTATGATGCAATGGGATGGTCGCCAATCTGCTACGCCGCTCTTAATGGGAATGCAGCGTTGGTGAAAGCTCTGCTGGAAAGGCGCGCCAACCCGAACGATGAAACCAAGAAGGGGCAGCCGCTGCTGGCTCTGCAAAAGATGGTGACGGTGCTGGGCATTTCTGCGTATTTCAAGAACAACGATGCCATGACGGTGCTTCTGGAGGCCAGAGCTGATGTCAGTCCTAGAGGCTCGCGACCTCCGCCTTTGTGCCTTGCAAGCTTCGGGAACAATGCGATCGGCATACAGCTGCTCTGTCAAGCCCGAGCAAACCCTCATAGCAAGAATCTTCTCGGTATGTCTCCACTGCAGCATGCTTGCGCAACAGGCGCATGTGATGCTATGGATATGCTCCTGACTCTAGGAGAGGGCAGCCTGGATCTGTCAGGCTCGCTGCATGCTGCAGCCTTGCTTCACGGTGGGTCACATACAACTATCACCAGATTGCTGGAAGCTCGGGCAGACGTGAATGAGCAATTCCGTCCACGGCCTTGGGGCACCCTTCAGCTGTTCTTCACCATGAAGGGGTTGGAGTTCAGATTGAAAAGACCTACAAGGTTGCGTACTCTGGGCTACCACCATCGTGGTGCAACCCCACTGATGGTTGCCTTGCTCGTCGGACATTTCGAGGCGGCAGCTACACTCGTGGCGTGTGGTGCACGGACACACGTCGAAAACTCCAGAAAGATAACTGCTGCAGATCTCATTCGTGAGGTGTCCACACCTGAGATTCTGAAAGACACAAATGCAGGTGAATTAGAAGACACTATTTTTTCGATTTGATTGATTTGAAATCGCTGAGGGTCAGATACCCAGGCAGAGTCAAGAGTCAAGGGGCGAAGGGTCCACTGTTGGACGTGCCGCCTTGTCATCACTTCGCCTTCGAAGGGAAGGCTCGAGCTTCGACCGCCGAGTCCCGTTTGCTCCTCAACCGGAGCAGGAGGCGAGGATGAAAGCAAAAAGAGGGCAGATGCCAATCAGCAAGCCTTGAAGCCCCGGTTGGCAATCTGAGGCGGCATGCCGAACGGTAAACAAACATAACATGACAATCAGGAAGCGCCCGGAACTGATGTCAGCAAGCATACCATGCGATCGACCTTCAAGTTCTTGCTGTTTGGACTGCGAAATAGGTGGATATGAATTTCTGCAGGATCCACCATTGTAATGGCTTCGTTGCTTGCAATCGAGCATGTGTGCTTACCTTTCCCAAACCATGTCCTGGCGTATGCGCCTTGGTTGCCTCCGACTCATGCCGATATCCAGGAGTGCTTCAAGAACTGGTTGGATGAGCTGATCCGATGCATCCCGAAGATCGGGAGTGCTGTATGTCTGCTTGTGCCGCGCCGTATCAGCGCAGCAAAGCGCATTTTGGTCTAAATTGAAAAAGATCTTGAAGCCTGGTCTGGCAATAGTACTGCGGACGACCGCTTGGAGCAAACTCGAGACCTGATGTGATGTGCTCGAGAAGAAGCATGTGCTCATGCAATAGAATATAATGTAATATAGTATACTAGACTTCGTACTACAAAAATATAATACAAGATACTGCACTATACTATAATATAAGATACTTCAATATACTATAAATACCCAGAGCCCGCCGTAAGGAGGAAGTGAGGAAGCAAGGGCAGGCTGGCGACACGTACTCGATTGCTCTTACTGTTGAATGACCAAGCGTTGGGCTGCGAGCAGGAAACGCAGTAGCATGGCAGTCGATATCAACTGAGGAACATCCTGTGAGGTCACTCTTCTTTCACACCGTGCCCGTTGAAACAAATGTAAGGATCTGTTTTACCAATGCTTGTCTTCAGAACTCATTTAGGTGCAGCCTGTGAGCCATATGTAATCTTGCCCTCACGGCAGCCAGCTGTCGTACATGGACTGCGGCAGCATCCGTGGAATTGCTGATGAGGTCAGTCTATTCCGTTCACACCTGCTAACTGCTTGCTCTGGTGGAACCTTGCCGAAGTGTTTGTCGGCAAATCCAGCAGTGGTGTGACGGCAGTGCGCATGCACTTCTTGTGCTAAAGTAGGTGGCGGACCAACCGAGCTGACTCCCGCCTCAGACTTGCAAAGGCACCTGCTCACCAAAATGGAATCCTGCGACCGGCGCACACAGCCAAGACTCAATGTACCAGTTCAGCACGGAG